AGAATATTGATAAAGATTGGTCACTTTGATTTTGCAAAACAAAGTAACATGAAAATTTTCTAAAAAAAAAAAAAAAAAAAAAAAAAATTTTTCACATTTTCAGCTGTTTGAAGCAGAATACCATTTTAACTCTTTGTAAAAAAAAAAATAATTCAATGAATAAAAGCACATACAAAATTACATATTTAGAAAGATTATTTTCTTTCCAGCCATTTTTAAGATTGGACCAGAAATACACAAGAAATTGTGAGTTGAACAGACTAAGTTGCAAATTTATCAATCTCAAACAAAATCAGATATCAACTGGAAATGCTATCATTACACAAGAAAATGAATGATTTCCTTAGAAAGCAAAAATACTAAATTAGACTGAAAAACCAAATCAAAAACTGTGATATCAAGGAAAAAATGGAAACTGATACCAAAATATAAATTGACAAACCAACTCTAGTACCTGCATTTTTATAAAGCCTTAGCAAAAAAAAAAAAAAAAAGGGTCAATAAAAATCATCCTAAAATATAAAATACTACTCAAAATTTCAATAAATATGAACAAGACATGTAAACCAAATACAATGGTTGCATTTGCATTTCCAACAAATGGCAAATAAAAGAATGCATATAAACTAATCCATGTATTGAATTACCTCATAGAAGTTCAGATCTCAACAGAAGCAAAAGCAGTTTACACTAACAAAATAAATCAGAAAATATTTAATACCAAAAAAACTAAAAATTGCACATATATTAAACAAATAAATGTAGAAACATTGTTATGGAATCCTACTAGAGAAAACAATTTCTGCATATTTTTGCAGAGATGATTCAGTGTACATTCAACAAGGAAATAACTGCTTATAGTTTGCAATTCCAGGAACATTTCAATGTGCTATTATTTTTCTATTCTGAAAAAGTATCTTAATATTTAGACAAATGTTTTAATTGTTTAGTTACTTGAATCATTTTCATCAGATGAATCTAATTGAAATAGCAAATATAAAATTTAATAGACAATGCTGGTAAGGAAATTAGCTTAGAATTTTAAAATCATTATAAAAATAGTTTGAAATGTTTAAAAAAAATACAAAAAAAAAACCCTTCTGTTCTAAGTATGGGAAAAGCTTTTTTTCTTTTTTTTACATTGAGAGTCTTTAAGCTGTCAACACGTGCCAAATATCAAAGTGGGGAAGTGTGACTTATCTCTAAGAAAGAATAGTTGTTGACAGAAATGACAAATTACAGTTGTTGGCTAATGACAACTAAACTGTTAAGAACATTCTGCTATTACATAGTATGGGTGTCAAAACCAACAATTACTCTTATACTTTATTTTTAGTTATTCACATTCAATAGATGTATCAAAAATTTTACACTTTTACATTGCCATTATTCTGGAGAAATAAAAATTAGTGGTTTGAAAAACAACACACACAAAGGGATAGGGATAACTAAAAAGAAACTGTGCAAAGAATTTTTTTTCATTCAGTATTGGGACAAGAGATATGAAGTTGTAAAGAAATAACTGGATAAATTGGTATTAACCTAATGGATATTCATAGGGTTGCCATACATGCTAAATCAATGTATTTTAACAAAAAAAATAAAGAATTTAGGCAATAATTAATGCCAAAATAACAAAATAATAAATGAAAAAAAATGAATTAAAACAATATTTTTGTCACAACAAGCACATCTATTACTCTAAATGTTATTTTGTGGATTCATGTATTGACCCTGCTTTTCTTTCTTTTTTTTTTTTTTTTAAATAGAGTGTACTATATCTACTGGTCAGCATATTTGATGTAGAAAAGTGTACTCTACAGCAGGATTCAAAGCTGCATCTCCCTTTGTAGGAGAAACTACCTTAACATTTGACTAGGATTTCATATTTTTCAAATCTTGCAAAATTATTATCCAAATAGAATTAGTGATTATTTTAATTATTTATTTTTTAAATCCTTTCCTCTCAAGCAAGGCAATAAGGCCACTAAGACAAGTGGTTACTGAGTGTGAAAGAATATTAGAAAATGAAAAACATCATTAAGAAGAGAGAAAGAACATTAAAAGAACAGGATTTAAGACCAAAGATAAACATTGAAATTACATTTAAATCTTTTAAGATCAAAGTTGACAGGAAAGGAAGAAACCAGAAGAGAGTTCCACAAGTGAGAATTTTGAGAGAAGAAACTTAGCATAGAATTTATGATTACATCTAGCAATTTCAATTGTAAAAGGATAAGACCTAGCTACCAATCTAGTACTGTGCTTAGATTCATAAAGTTGAGGTACCAAAGATTATGTAAAATTAGTGGAAGTAATATATTGAAATTAAAGTTTGGTTGGCTTTTCAGCACATCAACTCCTATACGAGTTATTTAATGCTGGAATTATTTAGTATTAAAAATCAAAAGAGTTGGATTCAGAAGAAAAAAACACTTAGGGGTTAAGACAGAATTTGGGTAGAAAGTTTTATGAGTTGTGTTGGAAAATATGTTTAAGATTTAATGTGTTTCACTGTATTGTTCTTGACATGCAATAGCCATTGAAGGTTCTTCATTTTTCAGTTGGTGATTATGTGTAATTTGACTATGACCAATGTGGAAGTCTGGCTAACACAACCTCATAGGAGTAGAAGCCAGGATACAGGAAAATATTCCTGTATCCTGGCTTCTACTCCTATGATAGGATAGATGCTATACAATTTGTTATCTGGGTTGGAGTTCCAATGTTCCTGACATTTATTTGTGATTTATTTAAAGCATTTGAGTGATTAATGTTTACTACTTTTTTTGCAACTGAATCAGCTATCATTACCCTGTGTATTAATGTGGCTTGGTATCCAGCATAGAGTGATGTTTTTGTTTTGTCTTGAAAAATGTTCCATTCTATTTAGTAATTTAGTAGTTAGTGGGTCTGTTGTTTTTAGTAAGTACTGACATGGGGTCTGTGAAAATGATGCATTTATTGTGTTTGTTACTTGTTATTATGTCAAGTGGTAAGTCAATAGCCAAGAATTTGGCACTGTATATTGGAGCCTTGTCTATAAGCCATGTTGTTAGTTTTACTTTGTTGGCACCACATTTCACTTTAAAATTAAAGAAAAAAAAAAAAAAATTTTGCTAAATTTTTTTTTTTTTTTACAAAGGAGAATTAAGAAAGATGGTGCAATAAGTACAAAAATTTTAAAAATATATTTGAACTTCTATAGTTTTTGGTTTTTACATTTTTAATACTGATTACCATTGTTACATTTCTGAATAACTGTAAGCAAGTATATTGCATAGATTTTACAAGAATTTTTGCCAAATTCCTTTTAATGGCACAAAATTAAAAAAAACAAAAAAACAAAATGTTAAAATTTATATTATATACAAAAAAAAGAAAAAAAATGAATATTTTTTTTCTCTCAAGCCACATTTTTTGAGTATACATAATTAGATAAAATCTGTAGGTTTTAATAAAATTATGTTTGGATAACTGTTTTGCGTTTTTTATTCTATTTGATTTTTAGCTTTCAAATCCCAAAGATTTACTTAACTGACTGTTCTTATCATCAGCTGTTAGTCTATTTTAAATATATTTTTCTTATATTAATGATTTTGATCAGTAGCTTGAATTTTAAAAAACATTAAATTGAAAAATGCTTAACTTTAAATAAAATAAAATTATATTTCCCCTTGATACATGTATTTCTCTCACTGAAAACCTAAGTAGTGAAAAAGGATTTTGAAAAAAAGAAAAATCTGTTCTGTTTTTTGATAGAATATAGACATTATCTGGTAGATCTATTACAATAGTGTCAAATTTAAGAAATGATACTGTCCAAAAAACATTAGTTTGAACAAAAATAGCAAATTTAATACAGTCTATTCGGCAACTTTTTCTTTCAGAAACAATTTTTCAAAGTAAATACAAATATGAATAAAAAATAATTTTCTATATTTCATAATTACAAAGTATCCTCCACCCAGCACAGACCCCACCAATCAAAATTCAACTACACTCCGGGATAAAGCTGCATATTGTGTTTCAAAGTGACAAATTGACACTTAAACCAGTCTACTAAATGGCATGGCTATGGATTAACCTATTTCTTTTCCTGCAGTACCTTTTTTCTTTTTTTTGTTTGCAAGCACATTTGATAATTTTCAAGATAGCTGATAAAAGAATAAATATGAAATTTTGATTTCTTTTAGCAAAACTGAAACTGTTGTAATGTTCTGAGAAACTTTAAAGAGAGAAGCTTTAGGCAAAAGCTAAGTTGTCTTGAAGACTAACAAAGATCTAAACAACCTTCAACTAATTGAAACGATGAAAATCTTGAAAATTTATTAAGCAATCAGTGAAAATCAATATTGAACCATAAATGATTAGTTTGTACTGGAGTTTATGTAAGCAAATATTAACAAACATTTGAAAATGAAATGCATTTCCACAAAATTTGTGCCTAATTTGCTCATAGAGGATAAATAAAAATAAATATGTACCAGGATTTAAGGGAAAAATTTCAAAATGTTGTGACTAGGGATGTGTCACATAATTCATTATTTTTGGATGCCCAATTGCAAGAACAAGCCATATACTATTTTATGGCACAAATGGTTGGTTGTTTATACAAAGTTGATATTTCTACATTTGAAAACAGATGCAAATGTATACTATCTGCATGCTTTGTAACATTTTCTGGATCATATATAAAGATAATTACATTCAGAAATTTCCATGAAATGAATTACCAAAAATTTATCAAATTTATAAAGATATTTCCATTCTTCCATTGTAGAAGTGAGAAGTCAATTTACAACTTGAAAATGCAAAATATTTTCATTTAAATAATGAGTTACAATTGAGGTGACATTATTTTGAACTGGTTTCATTTTTGATTAACTATGGTAATATGTCAAAATTAATTAAGTGGATACAATGATAAAATATTTACATTTCTAATATATATAAATTTTTTAAATGTTAGAAAAAAATAAAAAAATAACAATACTAACCTGTTTGACATCTTGCTGAAACAGTCTCAGCCCAAGTCGCTGATGTAACTTTACTTTTTTATTATGCCATAAGTGTTCCAGACGCCGTTGATGAGCAAGAACCTAATATTAAAAAAGAAAAAGAAAATCTATATATATATATATATATATATATATATATATATATATGATCTGAAAGGTTAGTAGAGATCTATTTGTCAGATGATTTTTTTTTTTTTTTTACAGATAACTGCTAGATTATAACAAAAATTAAAAAAAGAATTTTTATAACAGTCTTGTTAAGCCCAACATACAATTGTATGGATTTCTTGAAGAATAAAGAAAAAAAATCTAGTATCTTTCATGACATTTGATGATATATTAATCTATTGGAATGTAAAATTACAGACAGTATTTGATAACATAGTTGTCTTTGAAGAAAAAAACAATTTAAAGATTGATTATAACAAATATGAAGTAAAAGAAACTAAATGGGTGTTCAGCTCAGAATGAGAAAACAGTACACAAAGTTCTAACTCCAGTCAAGTTTGTTATATTAACTTTTGCACAAATACCCTTGGGAAAGGTAAGAATCCATCTCCTCTCCTCCCGGCTAGAGGTCAAATAGTAGGGTAAACTGGACTCTTCAACCTTGGATGGCAACCAGTTTAGGAGAAATACAACTTTGAATTCAAAACCAGTTGGGCAGGGAGCTAGCAATTCCACCCCATATAAACCTACCTGCTACAAAAACCACAGTAGCAGTATCTAGGTGTGCTGAGAGCTGTTGCACAATACTCCTCAATGGAGTCTATAGGACTTGATTGAGCAAAAAGAAATCAAGGTTTGTTGGCATCAACTTTCATAATTGTAGAGTAACAGAAATCAAGAATTATGGCAATATAAATATGTATCACTGTTTAGAATATAACCAGGACTAATGTTCAGTGTATAAATTTTTTTCTATAGTAACACTGGAATTCATTACGTAAGATACGATCAAATAGACCATCAAATAATTATCAGATAAATTGAAAATTTTTGCATATAAAATGACAAAACTATGACTTTCAGCAAGTCAAAAACTAAACATTTTGACAATTTATGTGTTTTCTACACAAATACAAATGTTTCAACTTAACATGACCAAATTAAGGGGGGAAAAAAAAATGAAAACATGGATACTTTCGGGTTAGTTTCAATATCTTTATCCTAATACTGTATCCAGATATTTATTGCATTTAGCAACCTTATTAAATATCTTTTTCTTCTATTAAATCAAGATAATTATACTTTTATTATTTTAAAATAATAATGATCAAGCTAAACATAAGTAAAAATTAAAAAATGCAATGAAATACATATCAATTATTTTAAATTCAAAGTTCTCATGCCTCAAATTATGTATCAATGAATTTTATTCTAAAATTAAAAATCTTACATTATTTTTTTTATTTCTATATCAAAACAATGTTTACCTATTAGTTGGATACAATTTAAGATTATTATGCAAACATTTAGCTGTTTTCAGAGACAAATAGAATCTAACTACAATATTTAATTTAAATATAAGAGATTTGAGTTATTTTTAGGCTAAATTTGTCTCACAACAGTAGACAAATTAGAAACTCATAAAAATATTTTTAAAACAATTTAAAATTATTTTTTCTGTTGAATTTTTAAATATCTATCCTTGAACCGATTCCTAATTTTCATCAAAGACCTTTCTGATGTTATCAGTTCCCAACTTGGTATCTATGCTGATGATAACCATTTACTCCATCTTAATAGTAAATATGATCAGTTCACAAAGGTCAGCTGATCTAAAATATGACCTACAATTTGTTAACTGGGGAAAGGAATGGCTTGTTAATTTTAACACCTCCAAAACAAAACTGCTCTTTTCAGTGTTGTGCTAGACAATTTTTACCAGAATCTATCTTACACATTTATAAGTATGATTCAGCATGCAGTGAATATTGCTGCCACATATGGTCTGTTGCTTCTGCTATGCATTTAGAGACTCTTGATAAAATACAAAGAATCTGCAATGTTATTGGTGCTGACCTGGCATCTGTTTCAGTTACTTTCCCCACTGGCATAAGTTTTCCTGCACTTTCTCTATAAATATTTATGGTAATTGTTCTATGGCATCTTATTTTTACAGTGAGGTTCACACTGTACAAGGCCCAGGGGCCACTCAAGGTAGAGTTACAGATTAAGAGGCACAGTTTATGGAGATAGGTAGATTGAACAGGTTAAGATTGTAGTGATTGGGAAAATATCCTCATAGGAGTCAGTTCCACAGAGCAGTAGTTCACAGGAAGAAGCTGCTCGAGTGGAAATTACTTCCCACCAATGGAATATAGAGAGAATGAGGGTGGTTTGCTACAATGTGAGTGGCATGGCAGGTCCTAGCTGTGGAGGTTAGAGTTGGTGGAACCAAGAAATGCAGTTTGAGCACTTTCCATGGAAGTAACAATAGAGCAGCGATAGGTTTACCACATCTTTATACTTTATGAATTCAAGCACAATACTAGATTAGCAGCAAGGCCTTAAAATTTACAGTTGAAATGGATTGATGTAACCATAAGTTTCTTCTTTTGCACTTGTTGAACTTTCTTCTGGCTTTCCAGTCAACTGATCTTCAAAAATTTAAATGCAATGTCAATCATTTTCTAATCTTAATTCCCGTTCTTATATTGTTCTCTCACCATAGCGACTTTTTTTTTTTTTCATTCTGTCACTCAGTAACCTCTTGTGTCTTAGTGGCTTTATTGTCTTGCTTGGGGCGAAATGATTAAAGTAATTTAACAAAATAAAAACAAAATATACACATTATAAAGAATGGATAAAACTTCCTGTGAAATTCACTGCAATCTTCTGTGAAATATGCTATGCTAGTATAAATTATACATTGTGCTTGCAAACAGATAAAAATTCCCTAAAATATTACCTAAAGTTATTACAATTTTAAATAAATAAGGATTCAAAATTATAATCAGCATCCCAGTTTCTGAACAAACCTTTATCCAGTGTCAATAGATTCAATTACTTAGCTTACAAAGTTTTATTTCAAACCACAAAATGAAATCAAGCGTTAGAGATAATATTTATGCTTACATCATGAATAACATCCAGAACATGTCCAGCAGCTTCAGAATAATCTGCTTTTGCTGTAATAGAATTGTTGCTGCTTGATGTGACTGGAGTTTGTAAAGTATCCAACAAAGCCTTGCCATCAGCACATACCTGTTAAAAAATTGAACAAAAATGAAAAATATACAAAAAGAAATTGTACTATGTAAACTTTGTGCAATCAATCATACTGATTCATAGAGAAAACATTAATTAACAGTACATTTAATAGTTCCAATGAATAATGACTTATTTTATAAGAAAATACTTTTAATATAACCAAATAAGAGCTAATGATGACCAGTTTCATAAGTGTAAATGGCACTCATTAACCCAGACAAACTTCTGTGTTTCTTTGACTAAAAACATAAAAGGCAATTGGTTAGTAATATTCGTTAGTAGCATAACAAGTCTAAAAATACCTTACAAATTGATTTTATAATACTAATAACTTGATAATGCTTAATAATTTCAATCAAATAATGCATGAGCTATAGATTGGTTAAAAGTTATAAAATTTTAGAGCTTTGCAAAAAAAAAAAAAAAAAAAAAAAGGTTTAGAAAGATTTAAGAGTAAATTCAAAGATGACAAAATTTATGCATAATGACTATGTCGCTACACTTTCATAAGCACAAATATTGTGTTGTATTTTTCTACAATGACATAATAAACTAAAAGATTATAAAGGAGAAATCATATTGTTTAAGTAAAATCTATCCCTGTGTGTTATCCTAAGTTTTATTTAACAAGGCTAAGATGTCATATTTGCAGAATGTTTGCTGTGCACCATCCTAGCAAGAATTTGTTATTTAATGCCACCTGGTCAAAAATCTACCATGAAGATCTTGTTTTTACCCTTTTAGTTTTTTGGTTTTATAAAGTATCATAATATTTATAATTCATTTAATCTGCAATTTCATAAAAATTAGAAGATAAGATCAAATATGTAGTTAACTTTATTCCATTACCATATTTATCTGTATTTTCTATAAGTATCAATATTAGTCACAAACAATACTTAAAATAAAACCAAGGAAATAAAAATTAACAGAGTTCAATTGAAGTAAGCTTTATCTCTAATGTTTCAAAGGTTTATTTGAAATTAAAAAACTGCAAATTACCAGCAAACTAAAAAAGACAAAAGTCTATGGCATCAAAACATGACAATATTTATCTCAGATAATAGAAATAGAACTATTTATACTGAAAGGAAAAAATTACTTCAGCATATGCTTGACTGATGGTTTCAATAAGTGTTTGATGTTGTTGTAATGCTTCCTCCAGTTCTTTGATGGATGATGGAATCTGGGGACTCTCACAGGCTAGTCTCCAGTCATTTACTTGGGCAAGATACTTGAGTACATAAAAAATATAAGAAATAGATAGTAAAGACTTGATAATGAAAATGATTTTTTTTTTTTATTTTTTTTTTTTTAAGTAAACAGTTTCACACATAAACACTAAAAAATATTACTGAAAATAATAAGTAAAATACTTCTTTTGTATCACTTTAAATAAGTAGTTTTCTGCACAACAAATATAAATAAATTGTAACAAGTTCAGTAACCACTCTGGAAATGATTAGAAAAATAACACAAATTAACTCAACAGCACTACTTGCTTTGGCTATAAAAAATATTTTAATAATACTATAAAATTACATTCTTAAAAATTGCTGAAATAGAATTATCAGATTATTAATAAAATCTCTCCATTTTAAAAATATACCTAATTTCTAACGTTAGATGAAAACTGCTAGTTTTATACATTAAATTACTAATAATTTTAAAGAAAGCTTTAAAAAATTTTAAAAACTATTCTACAAAATTGTATTAAAAAAAAAAAAAAAAAAAAAACGTTTAAGTTTATTAAAAATTGTTTTTAATAAAAACACACTTAACTTGCAAAGTATACAAATCAGTTACTGCTGGTTTTAAAATAATAAATCAAATCAAATCAAAAAGAATTTATGAAAAAAGGTTATGTGAGAGGTAATGCTCAACTCTAATGGGAAGCAAGTCAATGCAGCGTTCAGGAAATTATTCCCCTTACATTCTCCCCCCCCTAAAATAATAACTAAAAATTCTCAGATTTCAATATTTAAAGTTATGCATTATTCATAACATTTAATTCTATGTATTTGACATTTGGTTAATTAATTTTATCAGCTTTTAATTTTTTTTTTTTAAGTTTTTTTTGTGGGGGGGCGTTAAAATTATCAGACAAGAGCCATTATAAGTCATGATGTAAAATTAACAGGTCTAATCATCTGAACAACTTAATTCATGTTATCTATACAAAATCATAAATTATTCTTGAGGTCAAGATTTTAACAATAACATTTTTGTTTTATTTTTAAGTTATAATTGACAAAGGATATTGTAGCAAATATTTTAAGGAAAAAAAAATCTCTTTCCATATTCTTTATAAGAGATTACTGCTAATTATCTATTTTCTAACTAGTAGACCTATTCTTTTGCATCAAATATGAACTGGTAATTAAGAGGATTAAAGTTATGAATCCATTACTTAAAAATATCATATTCACTAATTGATCTCTTAAACAAAGTTGTACATATTGTTTTATAAACAAAAACAATCATCACTCTATATAGAAAAATTCATATAAGGAAATTTACTTAATATAAAAATAAATCAAATAATGATGTTTAAATGAGCTTAAAACAAAATAGATTAAGAAATTACATGGATTTAGAATTGTTAAAAGGGAAAAATGTTACCTGTTCTGCTCGCTTATGAAAAATCACTGACATACTAAGGACAGTACTACGATCATCAACTGCTGCTGCTAAAGTTTTCCAGTCACGCTCCAGTTTACTGGCCTGTTGGCGAATTTCATTGGCACCATAATGACCAGTATCACACAGCCGCTGAGCAACACTTAAGATGCGGTTAATGTTCATGTACATGTCCTTTAAGTAAAAAAAAAAAAAAAATTTATATATTTTCAGATTAGAAGTACAATTGTAACATTACTGATGCCATTAAAAAAAATATAATGCAACATAAGTTCTTATATAAAATAAACTCCATTGTTTAAATTAAAAATCCTTTAAAATATTTTTATACAATATTTAACTTTTTAAAATTTTTACTTTATTAAAATTATCATGGAAAGAATAATTTTGTAAACTTTTGTACAGTCAAGAAGTATAGACTATTACTATCCACTAAACAAGAGAGGTGATGATACACTTACATGGACTATTACTTTTTTTGAAAAAAAAAAAAAAAAAAAAAAGTTCCAGTTTCATTTTGAAGTACATGAGTTAGAATCACTTTAGAAATGGAAACAATTGTTTGGAGATCAATATTTCATTCTAGCCTCATTCTAATTGTAAACTCTTCATACCTTTATAACAGGTTGCTTCTACTTATATAAATAAATAAAAAAACGATTTGTAATTCTCCTAAACTGACATTTTAATCTGTAAACTAATCTATATAAATGATCCTATATTGAAATATCCAAAGATAGTGAAAATATAAAATAAAAACGTTCAAATATATTTTTGGTAATGGTATTATTCAATGATGCAAGCTCACACACATTGTAAATGTTTTAATAAACAATAAATATTCATAAACATATCTAAATTTGAAATTTAAATTAAATATTTGAACAGTATTAAAAATTTATCTGCATTAAAACAATGTTATAAAAATTTCCTTTGTATATACCATAAAATACATTTACATCACTTTATGTTTTGTTTTTAATATGGATATTAACATTCCAAAATAAGTGTATTTATGAAAGAAATTGTCTGACTGGACAGTTGACTTTAGATGGAATTTTTGTGAGAAATATGATAAATACTCCTACATCCAGTGCAGTAAAACAATTATAGAATAATAAACATAAGACAAGCATCTTAATGTGGCAATTATATTGCAATAAATACGAAAAAGTAGCCATAAAAGCAGGAAAAAAAAACAAACAAAAAAAAAAAAACACACACACACACACAACACTGCATGTGCCAAAATACACTTGAAAAGCACCAAAAGAAAATCAGGAAATAAAATTTGAGATACAGAAACAAAATTAAGATCGTATATATTGGCTACAATGATACACAGAAATGAACTGGAGATTTTAATGGCTTAATTATTTCAATATTTTAAGATCTTCCAAATTTACTATTTAAAAAAAAAAAAAAAAAAAAGTCACTTGTTCATTTTAAGCACTTAAGTATCTTTTCAAACATGTTTATTTCCAACCGAAATGTTTGTGGCTAGTAATATTTAAATACAATAAATTTTAACCGCTTTCAACAAACCATCATTACCATATTCTAATCTTGTTTACTCAAAATTTTATTTTGTTCATTTTACATTGGAAAAAAATTCCTAGTATATATTAATTTCATAAAAGAATGAAGAACTAGAATCTAAGATCATGATGAATAATTTTACCTTCCAAAAAGCAAAAGTGAACTTTTTAACATTATTTTGTTCAGTGAAGTTAGTACATTTTTATGCCAATAAGGTTATAAACTGACAATGTTCATATTCACTAGTCATAATATAAAATATTACATATATGATTGATTCTTTTAATCATACATATTTTGATCTTCATTGAAGCTAACATTAAACTTAAATAAAATGGATATTTAAAATCTATTCTAGGTATATCAAAGCAAAATCATACTGATAGTCTACCATATAAATGTGAAATGACTCTCAAAAGGAAATATAAAATATTTTCAATAATTGTAATTATGTTCTCTAAAAATCCAGAAAAAATAATATTACAAAAACCGTATATAAATTACATTTTTAAGGCCCACAATTATTTTTTTGATAAACTTAAAAATATGATTATGCATAATCAAAATATTTAAAATATTCAAAGGATTATATGAAATTAAGTTAACTAATACTCAAATTACATAAATTTCTAGTAAGAATATATATTTTTAAGTACCTAAATATCTATCTGAAATATTGGTTAGCAATCTATCCTGAAAGTTACAGGACAAAAATATATATTTTTTTAACAGTATCAATAAATTGAGTTCCTCAAAAAGCAGATACCTATAAGAAATCACAGTACAAACAATGATTGTCCTAGAACAGCTGATAAGATATTTCATCAACATTAAATTCTTTATGGTTAAATAAAGATAAATTATTCATAACTATCAAATTAGAAGAAATAGATGTTAAACATTTTTATTTATCAAACTGGAAAATTCCTTTTTGCTTGAATACCCAAATGAAACAGGATAACTAATTAAAACAAAATAAGAAAAAACTACACAATACAATAATACTATCATTTTTTCCAGCTGAGTGAGAACTCAAAAATTTTGTAGAGTAGAATATCAAAAGAAATCATGAATTCTTTTTCTACATTCCAATAAAAAGAAAAAAGTCTGCAAAATGGAGTTTTTCTAAATGTTATTCAGAAAGAATTTAACATAACCTGTAATACCATACATAATTAGAGAAAATTAATACTTATTCAAATAGTACATCAACAATAGTATCAAATGGTTAATGTTAAAAATGTCTTAATTAAAATTGTTTTATTCAGATTGATACTTTCCATTTTCTCATAAGTATATCTAATCTTTGACCATTTGTCTTACAAAAGAAAAATATCAAACTCACAATTACAGAATTTTAAAAAATAATTTTTTCATTACTGAACAATGAAAAATTATCTACCAAAATTAACTATCAATTCTAATAGGTATATTTATAAATTCAGTTATATTATTAGATTTTTCATTCATTAATGGTTGTTTAATTTTATATATTTGCATATGACACCAATTAACAAAAACTGAAAAACTCCAATAGCCTGGACATTTTTATGAGAAAAAAAAAATAAATAAATAAAATAAAAAAAAAAAAAAAAAAATAAAAAAAAATCTCATAGCAGTGTAATCCAGTGTATAAAATATGCAATAAGAGGCCTTGAAGCCTACAAGAAGACAAATTATGCTTGATACTGTGAAGAAAAACTTGGATCAGATTAAGATAACAGAACATAAATGGAGGTGTTACCATGCAGACAAAAATCAGTCACAAGCAATATAGTAGCAGTAGCAGCATTCAGAAACTGGTCAGGAGCAACAGAAAAAGCAGAGGAGGATATTAAAAGTAGACCATAAGAACAGTTTTATTTTTCATCCTATTGCTGATGGCAACATGAACAACAAACCAAATTATTTTAGAAAATACATGCAACATGCTGCTGCCATACTACATGGTGCAAAATCACAAGGATTGAACTAGTCAAATGACAATGAAATAAAACAAGAGATGACAGGTAACAGAATGGTCCAGATTGGAATATATCTTCAAATAAATTTAATAACATCTACTTATAAACAAAGAAAACTAAATGAAATATACAAGAAAAACAAATTACATATTATAATTCTTACTATAAAAATAAACTGAGAAAACTCAACATTTTTATGGTTTTCATTTTTGGCAAAGTAGTATAACAAAATTGTTCATATTTAAATTAATATTTTTATGTAACTTAATATTCATAAAGTTAATTGCCATCTTCTCACATTATTAAGTCAAACTCTGGGATTATTAATTCTCAGGACATTTAAAAATTCTTAATTTATTTTCCTATGAATTTATGCAATCAGCAGACGAGTTGAAATGTTCAATTAATCATATCTACTAGATATTTAAAGTTTTAATATACTAGTTTTATTTTGCCAATAAGACTGATATTCATTATGTTCTTCAGTTACTTGACTATGCACACTGAGTTCCTACCAATTTAAAAAGATTAATTTAGAGAAAATCAGTTGATGAGGAAAACTTTATTGTAACAGAATTATCATACTGTATCATGTATTTTTTGATAATTGACAAATATGGTAACCAATGTTCATTGCAACACATTGAAAAGAACCCTAATAAAAAGAAAGACTTATTTTCAAAGCACATTCATAAATGCCATCCAATTCTTTGTATAATTTTATAAATATCAATGAAATCTTACTATTTCTTTACCTTATACAAGCTTTTAATAAATATAAAAAAAGTGAATGACCAGAGTTTATTTATTCTTTATTTGGATCTACATAAATGTTCAATAATTATATTTTCTCACAGCATGTTATTAATGAAATGGCAATTAAAAATATGATCTGAGAGTGAAGAGCAGAGTTGACCAAAAGTAAAATATAAAGTTTATTTTGGAATTAGCATAGTTAAATGGCTAATATTTAATACTTTAAAATGTTTACAGAGATAATGGAATTATTTAAATTTTTGTTTTTCATAATAAAATATACTGTCTCTGAACTGAGTGTCAACCAAACTCAGTAATTCTCTTTTACAACTTACAAAGATTATAAGGTTAAAAAAATAAACAAAATCATTTCATTAATCTTTTCTTCATTTTTAAGATTTGAAGATCACTTATTTAGTGGAAGAGTTCTCCATTCTGTTCCCCCTCAAATGAAGTTATTGAAACAAAGTGAAGGCCAACATCTGAAAGCATCTTTGTTTATTGCAAGTATAAATAGAGAGAAAACAAATCAAGGAAAGAAAGGGACAGTCACTGTCAGTCAATCAATTTGCATAAACAGGAGAAATCAAAAGCAACCAAGGTGCAGCAAAATACTTGTTAGCATTATTAACCTAAAAGAAGCAGTCTCACTTATTTAGACTGTACAATATTTTGCTTGTTTTACTGTTTATAAATACAACACAAAGATAAGCTATGTTATCAATATCATTAACTACTTTTGTTTTCTACTGACCCTTACAAAATTCATTAAATTTATTCTTAAAACATTAATTCTAAAATATTAGATGATAGTGAGAAAATAGAATGATATTTTGACTAATAAAAAGTGGTTTGCAATATGCAATAACTTTATTTTTAGATTTTATATTGTAAATAAATGTTCAAAATTTAATA